ACATAAAATTTCAAGGCTTGAGAATAATCTTTCATCAGATACTCTCCCTGTTAGGCCCACTGGAATATGGACATGACCTTCTGTGCACACTGGGATATACCTGCCCCCATGACTTTGCTGCAGGCAACCCACGTGGCAATCCTCACTGGCTTGACTTGCATGCTTGTAGCTGTCTCTGTCTGGAACTGTACACCAGAGGCTCTGCTGACTTGGGATCATGGGAGAAGCCATATCCACATGGCTCCACTGGGCATTTTCCTGGCAGGGATTCTCTGCAGTAACCTCATCCTCTCTGTGGTCTTCGGCCTGGGTTGAGTGCCCACCGTTCTAGATGGCTCCATGCCTTGATATCTGGGCAGAGGCAGATGTCTCTGAGGGCTCTGCTGGGCAGGGCCCTGACCTCCACAGCTTAGGTAGCATCGTTCCCATGGCTTTGGGTGGCACCACCCCCATAGTCATGGACAAGCGTTGTCTGGCCTGTCAAAATCCAAGTGATACAGTCCCAACTTTTGAGACCAAAGAGGAAGCCTTAATGATCTCTAAATTGTCTTTGGGGTCCTTCTTCCCATGTTTTGAGGAATACCACATATCCATAGCTCAATAGCTCTATGGGCCTTTCCTATAAAGTATAAGAAGCCTGACTACTTTCTTTCATTCCTTCCTATCTCCTTCTGCTTCAGGTCAAATGGACTGTTTTCCTTTCCGGTGGCTATAGTCATTATTCACATTGTTCAAAAATTTACATATAGTTCTGATACTGTATCAGTGGAACTTGGAATGAAATTTGAGACTTCCCGGGATGTTTATTTAGACTGCCAACTGAATTCTGCACATGCAAATGTAACTCTTTCCCTTCTAAATTTTGCCTTAAAATGCCACAATGAAAGGTACTTATGTTGCACAAAGTTTGTGAATTAAACAACCAAATGCCTGGATTGTTTGGAAACAAAGGACTAAAGAAGGAGAAAGTTAAGATTTATAGAAAAGCAAATAGTAACCATTAAAGCCAGAAAGTATGATCAACAGACATGAATAAACAAAATGTAGTATCTATTTTCCAATGCTGTAATATCATTCAGTCTTTTTTTTCTTTTTTTTTTCATTTATTTATATTAGTTGGAGGCTAATTACTTTACAATATTATAGTGGTTTTTGCCATACATTGATATGAATCAGCCATGGATTTACATGTGTTCCCCATCCTGAAACCCCCTCCCACCTCCCTCCTCATCCCATCCCTCTGGGTCATTCATTCAGTCTTAAAAAGAAATGAACAGCAAAAATTAATACAACATTGTAAATCAACTATACTTAAATTTTTTTAAAGAAAGTCTGACACATACTTCAACATCGATTAAACCTTGAAGACATTATGCTAAATCAAATAAGTCAAACAAAAAAGAATACTGCATAATTCTACTTACATGAGCTACCTAAGACAGTCAAATTCATTAAGAAAGTAGTATGGTGATTACCAGGGCCTGGAGGAAAGGAAATGAAGAGTTATTGCTTACTGGTTGCAAAGTTTTAGCTTGGGATAATGAAATGTTCTGGACATGGATAGTACCGAAGGTCGCCCAACAATGTAAATGTACTTAATGCTACTGAACTCTATGCTCAAAAATGGTTAAATGGTACATTTTTTTTTTTTAATTAAAAATTTTTTTTCTTTTTTTTTTCCATTTATTTTTATTCGTTGGAGGCTAATTACTTTATAATAAATGGTAAATTTTAAGTTACCTATATTTTACCACAATTTTTAGAAAATGGATGGAATGAGTGCAAGAACTGATAACCAATCCAATGCAGGGTTGGGGGGAGGGTGGGAAGTGAGCACACAAACAGACCCCTGGGAGCTTGGTGTATGATGTTAGACATTAAAATCAATGGGGTAAGAGTGGGCTAGCCACTGAACAGTGTTGGACAACTGGTCACTGATATGGTAGAAGATAAAATTATATCCCTTCATCATTCATGGATTAAATTATTGTTGAGTCCTACTATCAAACTACGAAAGACTAAACGTCAAGATTTCAGAAAAAAAAATATTAATGGTGACATCTGTGTGACATCAGTAAAAAAAAGATTTCTTAAACATAGTATGGAAAGCTGCATACGCTTCCTAGGGCTGCTGAACCAAAGTGTCAGAGACCAGGTGGTTTTCAACATCAGAAAATTGTTCTCTTACAGTTCTGGAGGCCAGGAGTCTAAAATCAAGGTGTCGGCAGATTTCTGAGGCTCTGAGTAGAATCGCCCCTTGTTTCTTGAGCCTCTGATGAGGACTGTCAATCCTTGGGGCTCCTCGCTTGCAGCTTCATCATTTCAATCTCTGCTTCTGCTGCCACGAGGACTTCCTCCTGTGGGTCTTTCTGTTACTAAATCTCCTTCTTTAAATAATGAGGCCACCAGTCACATTCTGTGAAGGACCCAACCTATTCCACTATGACCTCATCTTTACTAATTATATCTGCAACAAACTTATCTCCAAATACGATCACATTTCTGAAGTACTGGGGAATAGGACATTGACATTCTCTTTTGTGGGGACACAATTCAGTCTGTAACAAAAGCATTAACCTTAAAGGAAAGGACTGATAATATTTTAATCACATGGTATAAAAATGAGCGGTTTCTTTCTTTCTTCTGTAAGACATGTTAGATAAAAGATACCGTAAAAAAGACATTAGAAGTTCTTTTCCCCATTGTTACTAACCTTGTTACTATAAAATGTTAAGTACAAAATACACAAAAATACATATTTTAAAGTCATTTTTTATTGAAAAAGTAACATATTTTTATTACTTTTTTATTGGAAGGTAGTTACTTCACATGGAGAAGGCAATGGCACCCCACTCCAGTACTCTTGCCTGGAAAATCCCATGGACGGAGGAGCCTGGTAGGCTGCGGTCCACGGAGTCGCTAAGAGTTGGACACGACTGAGCGACTTCACTTTCACTTTTCACTTTCATGCACTGGAGAAGGAAATGGCAACCCACTCCAGTGTTCTTGCCTGGAGAATCCCAGGGACGGGGGAGCCTGGTGGGCTGCCGTCTATGGGGTCGCACAGAGTCGGACACGACTGAAGTGACTTAGCAGCAGCAGCAGTTACTTCACAATTGTGTTGTGAAGTCTCTGTGAACTTGTGTTGGTCTCTGCTTTATAACAGTGTCAATTAGTCATAATTATACATGTATCCCTTCTGTCTTCCCCCAATCCCACTGTTATTGGTCATCACAGGGTGCCAGGCTAGGCTCCTTGTGTTACATAGCAGCTTCTCACTAGTTATCTATTTATACGATAGTATATAAATGTTAATGCTCCTTTCTCAATTTGTCCTAGTCTCTCCTTCCCCTCCTGTGTCTACAAGTCCATTCTCTACACTACACCTCCATTTCTTCTCTGTAAATAGGTTCATTAGTACTCTTCTTCTAGATCCCATGCTGTTCAGTCCCTCAGTCGTATCCAGCTCTTTACAATTTCAGGGACTGTGGCCTGCCAGGCTCCTCTGTCCATAGGATTTTTCAGGCAAGAATACTGCAGTGGGTTGCCATTTTTTTTCTCCAGGTTAGATTCCATATATATGCGCTAACATATAATACTTGTTTTTGTCTTTCTGACTTACTTCACTCTGTATAACAGACTCCAGGTTCATCCACCCCACTACCATTGACTCAGACTAGTTCCTTTTTATGGCTGAGTAATATTCCATTGTATATCTATATACAACTTCTTCATCCATTCATCTGTCAAAGGACATCTAGGTTGCTTCCATGTCCTGGATATTGTAAATTAGTGCTGCAATAAACATTGGGGTAGATGTCAATTGTGGTTTTCTCAGGGTATATTCCCAGTAGTGGGATTGCTGGGTAATATGGTAGATTTATTCCTAGTTTTTAAAGGAACCTCCATAATGTTCTCCATAATGGTTTATCAATTTATATTCCCACCAACAGTGTAGGAGGATTCCCTTTTCTCCACATCCTCTCTAGCATTTACTGTTTGTAGAATTTTTGATGATGGCTATTCTGATTGGAGTGAGGTGGTACCTCATGGTTGTTTTGATTTGCATTTCTCTAATAATGAATGATGTTGAACATCTTTTCTTGTGTTTATTGGCTATCTTTGTGTCTTCTTTGGAGAAATGTCTGTTTAGGTCCTCAGCCTAATTTTTTATTGGGTTGTTTGTTTTTCTGATATTGAGCTGTGTGAGATGCTTATATAAGATTAAATATCAATTACAGGGAAAAAAAAAACTGTGAAAAACTCAAACTGTAAAAAACAAATGAGAAAAACATCAAGCAAACAACCTAACCTTACACCTAAAGCAACTAGAAAAAGAAGAACAAATAAACACCCAAAGTTAGTAGAAGGAAATAAATCATAAAGATCAGAGAAGAAATAAGAAATGAAGGAAACAATAGCAAAATCAATAAAACTAAAAGCTGGTTTTGTGGAAGATAAACAAAATTGGCAAATCATTACTTAGACTCATCAAGACAAACAGGGAGAAGACTCAAATCAAATGAAATTAAATAAGACTCACATCTAAATAAAATTAGAAATAAAAAAGGAGAAGTTACAACAGACAATGGAGAAATACAAGGGGATTTTCTTATTTCCAAGTTGAGAGTCCAGGACAGCTACCACAGGGTCCTGCAGTATGCCACTCCCTTCGCGTCCTGCATACAATAACCATGACCTTTCAGTCTTCTGGTATCTTCACAAAGTAGATGGTAAAGAAGCAGAGATGTTAATTGCCACATAAATGTTTCTAAATTGAAAATCTTCTAGATTTCTGGTGGTAAGGTGGGAAGCCCCAGAGGCGGCTTCCCAGGTAGCTAAGTGGTAGAGAATCCAGGATACCAAAAAAGCTTGTGTTGTAGATCTTTTGGTTGAAGTTGTTCTGCTCAGGCTGCCTTACTTTCACCACATTTCTGTAGTACGTCACTCTGAAATGTGAAAGGTCACTCTGGGGGCACTGTTTCTTCTTTATAGATCCTTTAGCCAATTAAAAAGGCTCCAAAAAAACTGGCTTCTTGGTCCAGGTCAACCAATCGCTCATTAGTTACAGAGACAAAAATTCGATCATTTTCCTTAAGCTCAAATATTCCTCCTTGATAGATGGAATAGAGTCCATATTCTGAATCTTTAGACCAACAACTATTTCTAGCACTTTTCATCAGCAGTATAGGGTCAGGATAGCTTGTGTATTTGTAAATATATTGTACCATTTGTTTGATTTTTTTTCTGTTCTCTTCTGTTGAAACAGTTCCCAAACCTTCCTCAGGTTCCTGAAATCGAAAGTATGTTTGGGAATAGATGTAATAAAATCCTGTGTATTGGATAATCAGCTCTCCATTCCTTAAGATCAATTTATTTAAGAACGAATGTCCTTTTCTTGATGACTCCCAGTAAATTATTTTACGGCTCACAGCTTTTTCATTCTTGGAGCCTGGGATGAAGTTTGGAGAAAAATAAAATTAACTTGTAGTAAAGCAAGGAGTTTCCTGATAGCTGTGGCTAGACAACACTTTGGTTGAAACTGTAAAGAATTTTAATCTAATTTAAAACTTCACACACACACACACACACACACACAAAACAAACAAAAAAACTTCACGCTCCCTCAATCTTCCAAGGAGTCTAAATCTTAATCATATAGAAATCTGGAGGCTCCCATGGCACTGTGACCTGTTTGAAGTCCCCTATTTTGCTGTAGCTTGACTGCCGCACTCAGCTCTGACTGGTACCATGGGATGGTTCATTAGGATAGCAGTCTACTCCCGGGAAGAACTTCCGTCCAGAACCCCTGGCTCCTTGCCTGTGCGGGTGAGCTCAGATTGACAATGTAGAAGGAAACCAAAAGAAACATGTCTGTTCCTCAAGCCTAGAGCTCCTAAGTTCCTGCTACTCTTTTAGGTCTTTTTGGATTCCATCTTGGTCTTTCTCAGTAACCCAGTGTCACAAGCACCTTCCAAGCAGCAGGCATCTCAAGTCAAATAAGGCAAGATACAGGGCTTGGCAAAAGCGACCAGATTTAAAGATCTTCAGATCTTCGGATCTTTAAATCCTGAAGACTGTGAATGAAGATGGGCCTTACTGAGACAGGACATTCCTTTAAACTTTGGGCTCATCTCTATGATTGGTGCAAAACTTAGTTTTTCAAGAGTTGAAAACAACGACCATATTATTTGATGAATCGTAAATAGGAATAGTGAAATAACAATCTCACAAATGGGCAGAACACATCAATTGACTTCAAAAATACCAGTTTAGGAATACCATGAAGGCAATTTCCCAGAGTAAAACCAGACGAAAACCAACCAGCCAACAAAAAAACCCAACAAACTTTTCATTCATTAACTGATGCCTGAAATACCTTTAACCTAGGACAAAATCTCTCACAATAATAAAAGCACCACTTACTGAGTACTTACAATGCACTTGCATTTTGCACTCATCTTCACTGTTTTGTGAGTTAAATTTTATCTCTACTTTTTATGTGAAGAAAATGAAGCTTGGGACTTCCCTGGTAGTCCAGTGGTTAAGACTTAGCCTTCCAAGTCAGGGTGTTTGGATTTCATCCCTGGCTGGAGAGCTAAGATCCCACATGACTCTTGGCCAAAAAACCACAACATAAAACAGAAGTGATATTGTAACAAATTCATTAACAGCATTAAGAATGGTCCACATAAAAAAATCTTTTCTTAAAAAAAAAGAGAGAGAAGGAAAATGAAGCTTGATTGGGTTAAGTAATTCCCTCAAAATGAAGAACTTGGTGAGGAGGAGCTGGGATTCCCATGTGGGTGTTTAGATTACAAGACTCACACACTAACTTCAGCAATATATGGACACCTCTTCTCCAGTTAAAATTAGGCTTAACCTATTTGGTTAAACTATATGAAACTGACATTTCCATAAGTGCAAAGTGGTCAAATATTGGCCATTTTTTCTTTTTGTGCTTCAATCTAATGCAAGTGTCACTAGGAGGGTTTGGTGATTCATTGGAAAAGTAGATGACTGATTTAGAACTTTTTCAGAGGAGAAAGATTTGATGAAAGAGTGAGAAATTACTTTTAAAAATAAGAAAATAAAAAATGGGGGCATGGGAAACTCTAAGTTCTCTCATTTCAGAATTTTCTTGAGGCTAGTTGTGCTGGGCAGTAACTAAGCTACTTATCTGGTAATCTTGCTTCTGAAGAGTCAGTCTGAGACTTGATTACTACTGACCATTTTGTAGATAGCCATATAAACATTTCAGATATGAGAATAAATTATTTAGAACAAATTCTTCCCTTCCCTCCTTTAAACCATATATTAATCATTTCTCTTACCTAGAACTGGCAACATGCTTCTTTTCCGAGTGTTTCCAGTTATATGAGCAGCTACCCTCTTAGGACCATTTCCTCTCTCTAGGTAAGGATCATATTGTTTTTCTAAAAGAGAAATGACAAAGAATCATCATCACTTATCAAACTACTTTGTAAATACATTGCTGTTCACAGTACTTGTCAATCAAGCATAGTAAACACACTGGGCTCCCAAAGTTGATTATATGGGTTTCCATAAAACCAACCTACATTTTAGTATTATGAGTAGTCTACTTCAGCCTATGTTTAATTCAAAAAGTACTTTAGATAGGAGGAATAAGCAGTATCTTAAGCTGTAATTTATTGGCATCTCAGGGATAAGGTTCTACTAGAATATAACAAAGTGAAGATCCTGACACTTTTACTAAACAACAATAGTGACAAAACCATGGACACATAATACTCCTGCTGAGGCATTAAAAGTGCACAAATAACCAAGTACTGGCAACTTTCCACTTTGAGCTGTATGTAGGAAAAAGCTGATACTAATTTTCGTCATTTCAATTATATTTTCCTCTTTGCTAGCTACTACCTACTCTAAAGGAACAGCAATTACAAAACATCATTCACTATCTCAGATGGGGTTTATGGCTCAACTTTCTTCATGGCCACAGGATTCCACAGTTTATATGTCCATAGATGCCACAAACTGGTATCCAGCGGTCACTTCCCTCACCTCCCAAAAGGTATACGAAACAACATAATGATCATGATAATCAGTGTATGAGCATATAAATCATTGATTCACTAGATCTCAATAAACAAATCACATTTACTGACCACCATCTGAAGTACTCTAGAGCAGACTAAATGACTACAAATTCAACGAATTACTCTTTTAAAAATCAGCTAAAACTTTCCAGGAGGCTTACGTTGGTTGTTAAGATTAATTGTATGGTTTCACCAAACAAATATGTCCACGAACAAGGCAGTGCTTCCGTGGGGGATTCAAAAATTAATCACTGATAGTATAATCTAAGCCTTCAAGGGACTTACAGGGTTTAGGTAAGATACAAATTAGAAAGTGAAATTTGACCCATATGAAATAGAAAGAAAGGGTGAGGAAAGATTCCTATTTGTTGGAAAGCTGAGTCAGGGGAGGTTCTGGACAAAGGTCCCTTCATTTACTTTAGCAAACCAAAGTGCCCATTACATCCATGCCAGGCACACTTCTAGGAACACAGATAAGTAACTATAAACAAATGAAAGCAAGAAAGCATTTGAGGTGCAGGACAATTATTCGAAATGAGGGAGGATGGAGAGGCTTAAAGCCCACAACAGTGGGAGAAGGGCATTCGCAGAGATCTAGAACAGTGTCCCCAAGACAAGATGCACAGAGCATTCCTGGGATACAGGCTTCAGAGGAGTTCAGTTTCAGGCTTGAATGAGGAGTTAAACTACAGAGGATTTGAATGTTAGGCTAAGAGATTTGGATTTTACAGACATGAGAAGACTCTGAACGGTTTTAATCAGGGAAGCAAAAAGATATGTGTTGTGCTTTAGGCTAAACTAACTCATAGTAAGTTCTGATGGTAGAAATCTAGAGGGCTAGAGATTGGTGGGTTAGCAACAACTGTAATTGATCAGGTCTGAGAATAGGAAGCTTCCATCTAGACTAGTAGTAGAGGAAACTGAAATGAGGTGACAAAAGTCCATAGGGGAGAAAGAAATAGGAAGAAGACTTTATCTATCTGGTATTGTTACTTATTCAGGATAGTGGGCATTGGTACTATATTGAAGACCCAACACAGCATGAGGATGTATAGTCAATTACATGTTACTCTCAGAATGCTCAGCTTTCAAAGTTGATGTGTTCATTTACTTTGAACCTCCAGTGATAAATAATTCATAGTGTCTTGACTGCTCCGAGACTTTAACACTTTGCTTTAAAACATTCGGTAATGGAATCCAGTTACAAATATCTTGCATTTGAGGTCAGTGCAAGGATATAGGAAAGCCTAGATGTAAGAGCAAATTTTGAAGAGAGGAAATTTCCTGCAGTCTGTAGCAAACAACTCCAAGATACCTTATGAATATGCATATTTGAGTGTCATGGATACATTTTGGTATACTGAGAAGTATACCAAAGAAGTATGTGATTTCTGCACCCCACTGGTGCATAAAAAAGAATATTTTTCTCCCAGAACTGAAAATAGTACATACATCTTATGTAAACCATGGATCTGGTGTTCCTCATTAGAAGAGTCAGAGGGACTTCCCTGGAGGTCCAGTGGTTGAGAATCTGCCTTGCAATGCAGGGGATGCAGTTTGATCCCTGGTTGGAGAATTAGGATCTGCATGCCATGGAGCAACTAAGCCCATGTGTCACAACTACTGAGTCCAAGCACCACAACTAGAGAGTCCATGTGCTGCAAGTAAAGATTCCACATGATGCAATGAAGATCCTATGTGCCATGACTAAGATACGAGGAAGCCAAATAAATATTTTAAAGAAAGGAGAGATGGCATGTTCATTATTCCTGCTACTGCCTTTGGCTTTGGGGAAATGATCAGAACGAATGCTCAGATCCTGGGACCAGGTCTTGCCTTCATATTTAATAAAGGATGGTGGGGGTTATCAAGGAGATCCAACCAGTCCATCCTAAAGCAGATCAGTCCTGGGTGCTCATTGGAAGGACTGATGCCGCAGCTGAAACTCCAATACTTTGGCCATCTCATGTGGAGAGTTGACTCATGGGAAAAGACCCTGATGCTGGGAGGGATTGGGGGCAGGAGGAGAAGGGGACGACAGAGAATGAGATGGCTGGATGGCATCACCGACTCGATGGACATGTGTTTGAGTAAACTCCGAGAGTTTGTGATGGACAGGGAGGCCTGGCGTGCTGTGATTCATGGGGTTGCAAAGAGTTGGATGCAACTGAGTGACTGAACTGAACTGAACTGGGGGTTACCAAGGGATGAGGAAGCTGATTGTAACGGGAAAGGATAGCTGAAAAGTAGGAATACATCATTAACCAAATATCTATTTTAAAAACATTGTTTCTTCTCTGCCAGGATAGTGTACTCTAGGACTTTAAGTCTGTGGTACATGTATGGAGGCCTGTATGACTGTTAGTAGGGGAAAATGGGGTTATGGTCAGCTAAATGTGAAGTAGCAGCAAATTTAATTCATCAGTTACATTTACTTATGTCTTGATTAACAAAATCTGTATTAAGAATTTGTATGTAGACAGAGATGGTGGTGGGACAACACTGTGAATGCACAATTGTCACCAAATCATATGCTTCAAGATGGTTAATCACATGTTATGTGAATTTCACCTCAGTCAAAACATGCACGCACACACATACACACACACACATGCATGCCAAAGTTGGTGCAGGTAAGGACCAGGGGGATAAAAGAGAATCTACTAGGTTTGAGATATAGAGGTAAGTCCAGGTATAGAGAGGTGAGAGAAATAGGCATGTTTTCAATCTTTGTAGATCTTTCCTATAGTAAGGAATCAGAACACAAAGAACATATATATCTTTTTTTCTTTGATTTATACACATGTACTTATCAAAGGAAATGAACAAAATAAGTATGACAGAAAAACAGGATGTGAGGGAACTTTCTTAGACAGCTGGTCAGAGAAGTTCTCTTTGAAGAGGTGATGAGGATGGAGGATGAGAAGGAGATGTGAAAATTCAAGAATGGAAGAAGCCAGGCAGAGGACCAGAGAAGCCAGTTTGGTCTTCTCTGAAAGACCCGCTGAAAGGGGATGTGGGTCAAGAGCAGTTGGCCAACCATCAGTGGAGATGGCAAAGGTGTGGGGACTGCAGAAAGAGGATTTGGGTGAGAAGGATTGTTGGGAAAGAGACGATGGAGCAAAATTTTTGCATAAAGAAAGGCTTAGAGCCTAGGCATGGACAGAAGCAGAGAAGATGGGTAAATTTGGACCCCTTATTTTTTTTCCAGCTATGCTACCCACATTAGAAGGTAAAAACAAAGAAAGGAAGAAGTTGAGATGAAAGGTAAATCCACATTGGAAGAATAAAGTTCCCATGAAATAAAGTTCATACCTGAGGTGGGCCTCAGATTTGGTTCAAATGCCAATGCCAACAGGGAAACAGAATCAAGCATCTTGAGTTACTGAGCATCACTCAGAGGTGGGATGTTTGGGTGAAAGTAGAGAGCAAAAGGATGGAGAGGTACTCACTTTATCAGGAGGTTGACACTAGAAAATTAAAATAATAACAAAAAATAATACCTGGATTTGTAGGAATCATTTCCTCAAAGGTTCTCAAAATCATCTGCAAATAGTATTGAATAAAGCTGGTTAATTCCCCTAAGCATTTAAACTGATTATTGAATGTCTATGGCTCTTCTTGCTGATGTCTAACAGGAAATTTCTGCATTTAAGATATCAACTTAGGCAGCTTTAAGTTGTTCAAGCAAAGAGCATGTGGGGTAGGGTGGGAGCTGGGGTAAATATGGAGGCAGCTGTTCCTTACTATTGATGAAAGGATGGTCCTCTGTCTGAGAGACTTTTGTTTCTGGATGAAGTCTTTGAAATGCCATATCTGGAGCACCACAGGAAGGAGGAGTCATTTTTCTCCAAGTGAGGTCAGCCTAATGTGCCCAGACTTCCTTGTGGCTAATAGATGTGATGGCCATGTCACCTCACTTTCTGGGAGGTATGTCTGCACGCAAGCATGTGTATAAGTGCATTGCCTGTGTGTGTCTGCACGCAAGCATGTGTACAAGTGCACTGTGTGTCTCTGAATCTATGCGTGTGTTAGATTCCAGAGGCTTTAAATTATTGGACATACCCAAGACAGAAGGTATAAGGCACACTCCCTTTCTCTCATGACACCCATAGACATGCACACCCCATCCAGTGGTGACCTGCTAGCACCGTGTCACTCTCTCATTTCTGAGAATGTGGCTGAGACATTCTCACCGTAAAGAGATCTTACCAAATTTCCATCTCTTACTAAACACCTCATATCATTTTCTTTCCCCACTTGCTAACCAGTGGGGGAAACCAGTAAGAAAGAACGAAATTGAGCCCTTTGGTTCAATGAGCCCACCCTGACATGGCTCACCCACGGCTTTAAACTTCTCTCTACTCAGTTCTTTCGACGTCCCTGCCCACCTTTCCAATCACCATTGTTAATCACGTAACTGTCAGAAACTTCCTCTGTACTCCAGCCCCATATTTGCATTTTTCTTTGTCAAAAGCCCTGACCACAGATAACAGCTTGGGGCTCCTCTAGGGCAAAGGTCACTGGTGTGTGGGAGGGGAAGCAAGGGCCTCAGCACTTTAACTCTGCACTGGCCTTCTGAGCCAGAAAGAAAAAAGGAGGAGCAGGAAAAGGAAAAGGCTAATTCTTACAGTGTAGTAGGCAGAAAAAAAGAACGATTATAATGAGACTTCCCTGGTTGTCCAGGGGTTAAGACTCTGCCCTCCCACAGCACGGGGCACTGGTTCGATCCCTGGACAGGGAAAAAAAAGATGCCCAAGAAATAAGATGTAACGCGGCACAGCCAAAAACAAAAGCACACAACAAAAAAACAGAATGGTTAGAATATAAGCAGATGGACTGGATTAAAATTTGTTCATTACCAGCCCCGGGAAACTTTTCTCAATTTACTGAACTGATGTGGACTATTTTAATTTCTTTTTTTTTTTTTTAAGAAAAAAGAAGATAATAATGACTCCTTCCTCACAGCTGTTTGGGGATTAGGGGAGATATTAATAACATGTGGAATGTCCATAAAGGACATTTATGGGAAATGATCTGTTTGTTTATGTGGTACCTGGAAATATGGGGAAGTCTTCCCCCTCCTACCCTACATTCTCTCCTGCCCTGGGTGCCCTCCCTTCTCTGGTTTGTCGCAGGATGTGAGAATGGGGGGAGAGGGGAAGAGCAGGAAAGAGACCAGTAAAACCCACCCAAACTGCTTCTCTCATCTCCCCACTTCCTGCCCCTGCATCCAGCCCCTCCTCCGTTTCCAGGTTTCGACTCTACTTCTGAGTTTCGCTCCTCTGCCACCAGTGGGTTTGCCAACCTCTCTGATCCCAGGGGCTGTGGGGTCCCACTCCTCAGCTTCCTCAGGACCCTTCCCCAAACCTGCGTCTTTCCTGGTCCTTGTCACTTGGGGCGATGGAGTTCCAGCTGCTTCAGGAATGCCTGTGTGCAGTGAGCGCCCCACCTGTGTTTCCAGGGCAGCCATGGAGCAGATGAGTTTCTAGGACAACCAGGTGGAAGTCTGATTCTATTTGTCATAGAAATAGCATCACAGGGAATGTCTGGGCTTTACTGTGAGGGCTGCTTAGGGTTATAAATTGGAGCCTACTCACCAACATAACACTGTGTCTATAGAAAGGCATACTGAGCACCAGACAATAGATTTATAATCATTTCTTTAAAACACATCCTCCTCTTACTCTGGGAGTGTCCCCAGTAACTGTTGAAATAATGATTGTGTATCATAGTTTACAGGGTATTTTCATATTTGTATTCTCGGCTGACCTTTCCAGATATGCAAAAGGTAAACGTTACTAATGCCATCTTACAAGTAAGAAAGCAGCCTGAGAAAAGAAACTCTGTTTGGCCTGTCATGTCACTCAGAGTATAATTACATAATCACATCTAGTGAAATAAACTGTTAGCTACCATAACCTTTCTGTTAGAGAGCTTATGTAAGCAATTTTCACAAGCAGAAAATAATACTTTGTATGTGTAATTTACTGGGAATTGAGATGCCATCACCTTCAGTTTCTCAAAGTATATCTTTTTTCCCTTTTCCTTTCCTCTTTCTTTTTTTTTTTTTTCCTTTCCTCTTTCTTCAGCTCTATATGTGTACAAAAATAAAAGACTTAATTCCAGAGAACAACAATGTGGGAAAAATATAAAATATCATTATTTGGTTTCTTTCGTCTTCTGAATAACAAAAAAAATACGCACATCCTTTGTTAGTGTGTGACCTTGGACATATTGTTCTGTCTGTGTCTCATTTCCACAAGGTAAGATAAAATATTTAGACTAGATGAGGAAGCTCTCTGGAAGAGAGGAATAAACTCTAGAATAGGCTTCAATCAGGACCCACTGTGGGGTGGATCCCACCTTTTCCTAGTTCTGTGAATTTGAGGACAATCACTTAAACACTCGGTTCCAGCTTTCTCCTTTACAAAATGAGGACTCTAGACATCATAATCTAAAATATTCTTTCTCCTCTGACCTCCTATGCCCACTGGTAAAGTGACACCATGGTTCACCTACCTTTTTAACAAACAGATAGAGTTGTGACTTTAGTTTCCAGCAGGGATCGATCATACTCTCATCATCACTGGAGTCCCAGGAACTGTCATCTTCCTCCAAGAAGCAAGCCAAGCCACTTTTGAAGTATTTGTCCTGCATCTGGGTTGAGATGGATATAACACAGTATTACACACAAGTGCTTTCTCCTTTTGCTCATTTACAAGTTAAAATAACAGGAACTGATGACATGTTCAGAGACGTCTTAGTACCTCGGATGAGCTCGTTGCCTGAAGTAGAAGTAAGCATGCGGTCTTCCATCCTTTGAATAAAGGTAAGCAGTTGGATGTGGGAGAGAGGAAACAGGTGTGGGCCAGGCAACTGGTGTCACAACGCCTTTGCAGCTCCTGTCTTTGGATAGCTGTGTGTCGCTCAACAAATTGCCTCCTCACTTCAAAATCTCTTCTTCATTTGCATTTCAAGCTGGTTCCCTGTAGTGATCTCTGAGGTCCCTTCCTGCTCGGACGTGGTACGATTCCCCCTCTACAGTTGGAAACCCACACAGGTACAGAGTAGGCAGTGGAGTCTGTTTATATTCCAGGATCCCCCACCAAATTAATCAGCCCTTTAGGACACAGGTCATGTTCTATTTCTTGATCTTAGCTTTGACCCTCTTGGTTGTTTTTATTGTTGTTCAGTCACCAAGTTGGGTCACCCTCTCTGCAACCCCATGAACTGCAGCACGCCAGGCTTCCCTGTCTTTCACTCTCTCCCTGAGTTTGGTCAAACTCATGTCCATTGAGTCCATGATGCCATCCAAACATCTTATCCTCTGTCACCTCCTTCTTCTCTTGCCCTCAATCCTTCCCAGCATCAGGATCTTTTCCACTGAATCAGCTTTTCACATCAGGTGGTCAAAGTATTGGAGCTTCGGCTTCAGCCCTTCCAATGAATATTCAGGGTTGATCTCCTTTAGGATGGACTGGTTTGATCTCCTTGCTGCCCAAGAGACTCTCAACAGTCTTCTCCAGCACCACAGATCGAAAGCATCAATTCGTTGGTGCTCAGCCTTCTTTATAGTCCAACTGTCTTAGCAGATTCTAGCTACTGTTGTGATGTCTGCTCCTCTGGATAGCAGAGTCAGGACTACATTGCCATTAGATATTTGAATCTTGACTCATTAAAAGTTTACACCAGTTAGGGATTTACCTGCAGAGACTTGAAATACCATTTGAAGGTTTGCTCCCTCATTCTGATTGAGAGTAAACATTTACAATGACTAGATCATTGTCTGCAAAGTTTGCACTTGATGTTACACACACACACACACACACACACGCACGCACGCACGCACGCACAACTTACACACATACACTCCAATCCATCTGGAACACTCCAGGATGACAACTGATTAACCTCATGAAGAAAAATAGAAAGTTCATGCAAGTTCAGATGGGTCTTTTTTCCTGTTTTCATTTTTAACAACTGGGATTCAGATATTATTTCCATATACAAATCCACTGAAATGCCTTTCTCTGGAGAAATAAGTGGGGAAATAGTCATTTTATCTGTTATTTGAATGAAGAGGACTTCAAAGCTTGAAGGAAAGATCGAACGTAAGAATGATTGCTTCCTTCTATAGAAAGACAACCTTATTCCAAATCAAAATAACTTAAACACTGATGAGAACTTTCAGTGAAAGTCATGTGGGTCTATAATGTCAGCCACGTACTCCTTGGACATTTGATCAGGTCTCTCAAGCATAGAAGTTACAAACCTGACTTAATTCCTTCCCCATTGGCATAGAACATTCATTTACTTTTAAGTAAATGCTTATTTTCTTTCTTCCTTTTTAAGATTACAGGAGTAAAACATTTATGTAGGAGAATTTTCATCTGCAATTTATGTGGGAGCTTGAAAAGCCTTTCCAAGGAAAGAACTCAATTTAGAAATATAAAAGCACGTCTAGCAAACTGCAGGGAGGATCAGAGAAAAGAGCTGGATTTAGCAGCAAGGCCTTAGGAAAGTTCCAGAAGAACAGTTTTATTAGACATTGTCTAGTCCAACAAGACTAGGTATTCCTTGGTCAGGTACTGATTTGGTGAAACTGAATAAATAAGCTTAACTGGGATTTCCCTGGTAGTCCAGTGGTTAAGACTCTGAGCTGCCAATGCAGGGGTACGGGTTTGAGACCTGGCTGGGGAACTGAGATCCCACATGCTGTGGGGTGCAGCCAAAAGATGTTTAAAAAAAAAAAAGCAGGCTTAACTAACTTTTGTAACCTGTTGGGACAAAACAATGTGACTGACACAAAAAGGAGAGAGCAACTCGTCTTCTTGTATCATAGCGATTGGAAAGTGCCCAGGAGGTGGGGTCAGGGTTGGGACAGGGCAAAGTTGAGAGATGCTGGGATCAGGTGGTCAGGGTAGCTGACAGCCCCTGTGAAGTCAATTGGAGTTTGAGAGGGTGGAAGAGACCAGGGGCCAGCCCAGATCAGGATCCCCTGCTGGCCTCTGGAGATCCTCTGGTAATTTTCCAGAAACATTTTCAGGAGGTGGGGAAGGATTGCCTTGAAAACTAAGGTCCTAAGGAGACATGGGAAGGAGTCTGACAGGCTAGTGTGACTCCACTGTTAACCCAGAATTAATGAAGCCTGAAGATGTTGAGGATGTACAGGCACCCTGGAAAACAGAAAATTATAGAATACTTTTCTAAAAGTAAAACAAGTAAAAATCCTCCTTGATCCACCCTCATTTCACCTCCTAGTTGACCTTTGGAGTATCTCTTTTTATAGGGTTAAGATCAGACTGGGTGTGGGCAATTTTGTATATGGTTTGGGCTTCCTTTGTGGCTTAGCTGGTAGAGAATCCACCTGCAACTCGGGAGACCTGAGTTTGATCCCTGGGTTGGGAAGATCCCTTGCAGAAGGGAAAGGCTACCCACTCTAGTATTCTGGCCTGAAGAATTCCACGACTATACAGTCCATGGGGTCGCAAAGAATCAAACACGACTGAGTGATTCACTTTACTTTTTTTTTTACTTTACTTTTAAGACTATATAAAAATGTCATTTTCTTTAGATCTGTATGACAATCATATGAATGGCATAGACCGTTTCACAACATTCATTGTAGAAAACTGATAAAATATAGAAAAAGAAAAAGGAAAAAGAGGGACCCATAATCCTGTCATCTAGAGATCACAACTTATTTTTCCTCCTAGATATTTTTAAGCTTATGTATTTATTTCTGAACAACAGAAAGCTGCAGCCACCCTGCACCCCTTCTGCAGGTTTCCTATTTGGTAGTTTCTTTCACATACCTGAGCCAATACAGGTGAATGACACATGGGCAAGGGGGTGCTGTGGCTAGGGAGTTTCTTTCACATACCTGAGCCAATACAGGTGAATGACACATGGGCAAGGGGGTGCTGTGGCTATTCCAGGAATGATTAATGATGCTTAATCTCTCTCCCCACTTCCTTTCCACACCCATTCACACTTTGAGAAGGAATTTCCTACAGCACTTCTGTGGCTGGGACTGTTCTCTTGCTAACCACATCTGGATATTGGGGGCAAGGGGATAAGTGTGCTTTTTTTAAATTTGGACACTTCTAGAAGGAGAGACAACAATAGCACCAGGTGCCTGCTCTCCTGTTCCAGGAGCCCTTGGTTTTAAGAAGTGGATTCCACTCAACTTCTGGCGGTGCCATCACAAACACTGTGGTCATCCAGGCCAGGTATAACCAGTCCTTGGCAGGGCTTGAGGTCAGCCGCGTGGACTCCTTTGCTGGCTGGCTGGCTCAGAGACCTCAAGGTGGCAGTCCTGACCCTCTCTGCTGCCCAGCCATTAGTCTCTGACAATCAGTTTCTGCAAACCCAAATAGCATAAAGGATCATTTATGGAGCCCAGGGGATAAGAGGCTCCTCCTCCTTTTTCTTTGCCATCTATGATGACACAGCAATAGGTAATCCCCTTGTCAAACTTTCTCAGAGACATAGACTTCAGAGGCTAAGCCCATATTTATTGTTTGTGCTTACTGGCCTTGAGACTTCATTGTGACGGTTCAATCCAACATCCCTCAGCCCTACTCAACCCACACTCCCTGTAATCCTTACCCACTGTATCTTCTGCAAATTTTCCCTTGCCAGAGTAGAACCTGTGATCTGATTTAGAACATTAATACTTGTGTTGGGTATGCTTTTCCAAACTCTACACAGTCATTCAAAGAGATTCAAATTCATTTTCCCTTGCAAAACTTTCTGATGAAGAGGGTGACAACTTCAAGAGACTGCTCCATGCTGATTACAACTTACTGAACACCTATTTAATGTCTTGGTTCAAAATTCGGTTTTACCTTTTATCTAACCTCCCTGAGCCTTAGTTTGCTCATCTATAAAATGGGATAATTATATTTACTTTATAGAATTGTTATGAGAATGAAATAAAACAATATTTTGAAAGTTTCTGAAACATAGTATTTGCTCAATATCTCAATTCTCCTGTTTTTAATACTCTTAATAAATTCTTCTGTGCATCTATACAGAAGTGTACAAACATATAAACATTTCTGTGCTTAGTTGTTCAGTCATGTCTGACTCTTTGTGACTCCATGGACTGTCGTCTGCCGGGCTCCTCTGTCCATGGGGATTCTCCAGGCAAGAATACTGGAGTGGGTTGCCATGCCCTCCTCCAGGAGATCTTCCCAAGCCAGGGATTGAACCCAGGTCTCCCACTTTTCATGCAGATTCTTTTCTGTCTGAACCACCAGGGAAGCCCAAGAATACTGGGGTGGGCAGCCTATCCCTTCTCCAGGGGATCTTTCTGACCCAGGAGTTGAACTGGGGTCTTGCAGGTGGATTCTTTACCAGCTGAGCTGCCATTTATATAAACATGTAATCAGAAAGAATGTTTGCAGGTGCAAAGATGTAAAGCTTTGAAGCTTCCATTTTTTTGAATTAAAAAAAAAAGTTGACCACATACACAGATAATTGCATGACTTAGATCAGTATAGAACCAGTTGGTTCAATCTTAAAATGAGGCCAACTTTTAATATGAGCAAATTGAGGGAACCTCTTGTATATGGAGACACAAATTCACTATTTATACTGTGAAGTAAATAAAACTTAGGACATCCTGGCTCCAAATTGGAGAACATAGCAGTATTCCAGTCTCTTGTGCAGACACAGAACTAAAAAACATGATTAGAGTTATGTTGGTTTTTTTCCTTACAATTAGAAACTCTTTGAAATTGCCCTATAACAAAGCTGACTTTACTGGTCATCTAACAGTAGTGATCATTTTCGTAAGTACTTGTAGACTCATTTATTCCCTTAATTTCCAAATGCAATTCCCAGCCAAGTGACAGTCGAGTTTATACTCCACAGGATATGCAAACTGCATCTATTTCCTTAGCAGATAAACACTGTTTTGGCACAATTTATGTTTGTCTAAGACCCTTAGCCTTGCATTTCCTAGCCAGCTGACAGATTTGATGTTGCCTTGCCACCATGCATCAGGCTGCCCTGCTGAGCATAAGGAGGAGGTAAGCTAACCCCACTGACTCCCTGCTGTGATGGGAGAAGCATTACCTATGAGCTGAGCAAAGACCTGATTCCAGTTCTGCTTCCAAATTTCTGCCTGAGCTCAGAGAAGTTATTTCTCTGGCAGTTTCAAGCCTCCTCTATAAAATGGAGGTGTGCAAAATTCTTTTCAGCTCAAAGTTCTCGGCCATATAATACACAAGTAGCCAAAATGTACACAGAAAATCCTACATTGTTAGTGGGAATGTAAATTGGTGCAGCCATTATGGAGGACAGTATGGAGATTCCTTAAAAAAAAAAATAGAGCTAACATATAATCTAGCATTCTCACTCCTGGACACATATGCAGAGAAAATTATAATTCCAAAGGATATATGCACCCCAGTGTTCACTCCAGCGCTATCTACAATAGTCAGGACATGGAAGTAATATAATGTCCATCAACAGAGGAGTGGATAAAGATGTGGTACTATATACAGTGGAATATCACTCAACCATAAAAAAGAACAAAATAATGCCACTTGCAGCAATAAACTAGAGATTGTTATACTGAGTGAAGTTAAACCAGGTAGAGAAAAACAAATATCACATGATATCACTTACATGTGGAAAGTAAACGGTAGAAATAAACCTATTTAGAAAATAGAAGTTGAATCACAGATACAGAAAACAAACTTATGGTTTCCAGGGGGAGGGATAAATTGGGACATTGGGACTGACATATACACAATTGGAAGGACTGATACTGAAGCTCCAATACTTTGGTCATCTGATGTGAAGAGCCTACTCATTGGAAAAGACCCTGATGCTGGCAAAGATTGAAGGCAGAAGGAGAAGAGGGCAACAGAGGATGAGATGGCTGGATGGCATCACCGATGCAATGAACATGAATTTGAGCAAACTCCAGGAGATGGTGAGTAACAGGGAGGCCTGGCGTGCTGCAGTCCATGGGGCAAAGAGTTGGACATGACTGAGTGACTGAACAATGAGAAAAATGTATAAAAAATATATAGTATTTATAAAATAGATGAATAATAAGAATCTATTTTATAGCACAGAGAACTCTATTCAATATTCTGTAATCATCTATATAGGAAAAGAATCTGGAAAAAGAGTGGGTATGTATAACTGACTCACTTTGCTATACAGAAGAAAATGACATTGTAAATCAACTATCTGGCAATAAAAAAATACACTAAATATATGTGTGTGTGTGTGGGTGTGTGTGCGCTGTGTTTAGTCTCTCAGTCATGTTTGACTCTCTGTGACCCCATGGACTGTAACTTGCCAGGCTTCTCTGCCCATGGAGATTCTCCAGGCAAGAGTACTGGAGTAGGTTGCCATGTCCTCCTCCAGGGGATCTTCCCAACCCCAGGGATTGAACCCAGGTCTCCCACATTGCAGGCAGATGGTTTACCATCTGAACCACCAGGGAAGCCCAAGAATATTGGAGATGATAGCCTCTCCCTTCTCCAGGGGATCTTCCTGACCCAGGAATCAAACCAGGGTCTCCTGCATTGCAGGCAGATTCTTTACCAGCTGAGGTACCAGCGACTATATAGAAAGCCAAAAGCTGATGTTGGCTTATTTTCAGTAATTTTGCTTTCAAAATCCACTATAACTAGCAACATTTGGAACACACCACAGCATTATTACAGGTAACTTAGAGCCTGTCTTTGGGTTAAGCCTTGACTGTACCCTATGTCTCTGAAGCACATTTGTGAAGGTTGGTTACTCACTGAACAAGTGTTTAGTAAACACCTGCTATGTGGGAGCTCTGTGCTAGCTCCTAGAGGTGTCACAGAAAGCAAAAGCAGACTCAGTCCTCCCCTAAGACAGCTCCTCTCTTGCCCAAGAATTTGAGCCAAGAGCTCTAAAACGTTAAGCAGAAAGCACATAAGGAATGGCAGCAGTTAATAATGTAACACACTGCTGAAGACAAAACCACCTTAGCAGTTTCGTTTCCTGCATCTGCTAGAAACTGGTGGAGCCAGTTCTGAAACTATACCTTGGGCACATAATCCCTTCAATTCACTTTTGCAAAGTTCTCAGCAATGATAGGCATTAGCAGTTAGGGTCCCCGGGGCAGGGCAGAGAAAGAGAGGCTTCTCTTGCTCTGTAAAGTCTTCACAGAGGAGCCAGCAGAGGCAGCCAGCCAGCTGGTGCTGAGATCGCCTGTCAGGGAGCGTTTGCACTGTACTGACCTGCTTCAGCTCCTTGTTGAGATACACGTAAAACACAGCCATACCGAAAGCCTGCAGCAGCACCGTGAAGATGAGCATCAGCACGCAGATCTGCCCAGGTCTGGAGCCCGGAGCCTGCATCAGCGTCATGGTCGCCGTGGGATGGGACTCCTGCAGAGTGAATCAGGCAGCAGATTAGGACTGCAGTGGAGTGGAGCGGGCTTTTTGTTTCACTTACTGAAAAGGAGCAAGTTAAACTGAAACTGAAAGCTGTAAAGAGGAGAAAACAAAGTACTTGCAATTCTACTAATCCTAAACCACTAGAAGCTAGGGGGAAGCAAGGCAAGGCAGATCCACTACCCACTTCTGGGGCACACGGCTCTCTGTCTCTTTGGTTTTGGACTTCTAAACTCCAGAACTGCAAGACAACACAATTCTGTTTGTGCTACTTCATTGTGGCAGCCTTCGGAAGTGACTATAGCTTTCTTTCACTGGATTAGAAAAGTGAAAAAAGTTTTAAGTGTTACAATCATAAAAACTGCAATCCATGAATTAAAACAAAATCTGGGGCTTGTTTTGAAAAGGTCATTGTCAACATGGGCACCAGAGGCCAGTCCACGTTTCTGTTAACTATTCCATTCATTCACTATTTAGGCTAGTCTATCTAGGTCACCAGGTTTTATAAGTATATGTCTTTCCATCATTTTCTAATTGTGAAAAAATTCTTCATGTTCTTACCTTACATTTTCTTTATTTTGATTAGGTAGTTATTGGGCCACACCCCACCAGCCTGCAAACTTGTGGTTGCCCAGCCTCCAGACTGAAGAAAGAGGCTGGATACAGTGATGGGGACATCAATAGTTTAGTGGACAGGGGATCTTACATGTCTGAAGCAAAATGTCCTGGAGTGAAATCTCACCATGGCAGGCAGGACATGGCAGCAGTCTTTGCCCCTTTGGGGGAGAAGGAGGCTACCCTGTATGGGTGGGAGGGACAGGGTGGAAATTGATTTTAGGTGAGCCCATCAGTTACCAAGGAAACCAGGAGATGGCGTGGGGGCAAGCACTCATTTGCAGTTAGTTACTGATGAAGCCCTGTAATTAGTAGGATTGAATAGTCATGTGATTGAAGCAGGGCCTGGTCAAGCTGGGGATGAACAGAGAGCAAGAGAACAGCCATCCTGAATGGCTTGACAGTACACTCCACCCCTGCACACCTTGCACGACACTTACAATCTTGGTCCACCCCTCTTCTGTGATATCCCTGGGCTCAGGTATATACAGGGGCACTGCAACCAGACACCACAAATGCAATACAGACAACAGCAGCTAAAGAGTATCAAGAGTCTAAGAGGTGGGCAAACATTCGAGCCAGCTGGCTACAGGCTCAAGTTTTCATGAAAGTCCAGAGGAGGACAACAATGGCATCCTGCTATAGACCCAGCAAGCAGGCTCATTTCCCAGTGAGGCCACCACTGTGTGCAGTCTGCAAACAGATTGCCTCCACTCAGACTAAGTATGCTTACAGACACAAGACAGGGAAAATTATGATCATTAACCAACATACAAGCACTATCCTGAGATAGTGCCACCCCTGCCTGAGGTTTCTGTCCTGGGGGGTGGTACCAACCTGCCTATTCACCCGCAGTCCCCAGAGCCCGTACTGAATCCTAGCGAGACCCTCAGGGTTAACATGATGGTGTCTTCCTCCAGCTGGGCCTGGATTAATTACCTTATTGGTGTTTGGTGGAGCAGTTAACAGACAGGTGAGATCTATGAATCCCTTTCTATCCTATTTCCCACCAGGAGGCAAACCCAAACCACCAGGGACTCATATGCCAGTCCCAGGGCTGGCTTATAATGTGTTCTCCTGGGGTTAGATCTTGTGGCCCAGACAAAAGCAAGCTTTGTCCTAATGGATAGTCCTAATGGCAGTGTGCCTTGAATTTGAATGGTGTGACCTTCAAGTGGCCTTTGGATTCAGATGGTGTGGTCACTGGGACCATTGCTCCTGGGGTGTGTCCACACGTTGAGAGCAGGTTTCCCATCTCACTTGATGCTGACATGACCCCACTCATCCTCTGGATTAGCCTAGCAGCACTAGGACTGTAAGGATGGTGGAAACACCGGTGCAGGTCATTTCCATCAGCCCCTTCCTGAACTTCAAGGCCAGTAATGTGGGTTCCCCGGTCAATACCGATGTCCTTGGGGGTCCCGTACATCACACACAGCTCCTCTGGACCCTGTATTGAGGATTTTGCATTGCTCCACGACTCAGGTAGGCCTTTTGTAATGTCCTGCCCCTGTTGTGACAGGCTGTAGATACACACTGCTGCTCCATCACACTGACTCATTGGTCTGCCCCCTTCCACAGCTGGGACAAGAAGCCCAAGAGCACTCATTATTTAGCTGTTGCCATAGGCCCCAACCAAACCTTTCTGGGTAACAGGCCATGTCCAATTCCCAAGTCTGTCCCTAAGTTACCACCCCTAAAGCCTATAGCCTAAACAACATCCCCAGTTGTTTAGGGTTGGTGCGTTGGAGGGGTATATTGGTATTTTGAAGATGATCCAGGTCCTTGTCTTCTCTTTGCAGTCCCCACCCATCCCTGTGCTAGTTGGATGAGCCACGAGTGTGGGGTTGCTACTTTTAAAGTGGAAAGAGACTCTGGGGTTTATAGGATATTGTCATTATGATGGAAGACAACTGCCACAGGGCCCCACATGCTAGTTTACAGCCCCTCCGCAATCATTCCTCCAACCTTCTGTTCCTGGCCTTGTTTCCCTACATCTCTACACTCACGAGAGTTTCTTTGGCCTTCTGGCTGACTCATCAGATGTTGAGCTGCAGGCCTGAAAGCCTTGCGATCGAAGAAGAGCCCAGAGATAGTGACAGAAACAGCAACAGTTTATTGGAAGGAGGATCTTACATGTCTGAGGCAAAAACTGTACAGTGACACCCCCACTTTGGGTGGCTGGCAACAGGCAGGTGATGACAACAGTTTCTGCTATTTAGGGCGAGAATGAGGCTTTGATTTATAGGGGTTGGATGTCAGGTGGGCTCATCAGCTACCAGGGATTAAGCCGTATATTAAGAGGAGTGAATAGTCGTATGAGTGAAGCAGGGTCTGGTAGAGCAGGGGATGAACAGAGAACAAGAGAACAACCGTCTTGAAGGATGACCATACAGTAGTCCTTATACACAGTAATGAGATACAAAGTACTTCACCCTCACTTGGCCATGAATTGTCCTGTTCTCCACCTTGAAGACAACAATGATTAACAGTTTTTATATATCTTTCCACTAAGATTCCATGCATTTATAAATAAACATATATATATAATGTATATGACAGACTTAAATGGCAGCATACTCTATACATCATTCTGAACCTTGTTTTTATCACTTCATATATCTTGGGAATTCATTCCGTATTTGTAGGATTTTTTTTCTATATAATACTCTACTATATAGATACTTTAAAAAATATTTAACTGGGCTTCCATGGTGGCTCAGTGGGAAAGAATCTGCTTGCCAATGTAGGAGAATGGGTTCGATCCCTGATCCAGGAAGATTTTACATGCCAAGGAGCGACTAAGCCCAGGCACCACAACTATTGAGCCTGTGCTCTAGAGCCTGGGAAATGCAACTATTGAGCTCAGATACCACAACTACTGAAGCCTGAACACCCTAGAGCCCAAGCTCCAAAATAAAAGAAGCCACCGCAAAGAGAGGCTCATGCACCACAACTAGAGAGAAGCCCCCAAAGCCTGCGTGCACCAATAAAGATCCAGCATAGCCAAAAATAAGCCAAATAGTTCAAAAATAATATTAAAAAATATTTTTTAATATTAGAATATATTTAACCAGTCTCCTATAGATAGATATTTAGGTCGCTGCCAATATTTTTCTTTATCACAATTGATGCTCTAATTGCTGTATTTTTATTCTCTTCATCAAGCCCTTTCTTTGCCATCCCATGTGTAACTGCAATCTGCTGTTTCCTGTTCTGGCCCCAAGCTTACTCTCATGCTTTATTTTTCCTCACGGCACTTTACGTTTTCTGGCATTCTATTTATTTTACTCGTTGATTGCTTGTCTTTACCAACTAGAATTTAAGTTCTATGAAGACACATGTTTTTGTCTCTTCAGTTTGCAGCTGACTGGCTTGTATCTGAGTGCATAATTAGTGCTCAGTAAATACTGAATAACTGAATGTTTTAATTAAATGCCGCCAAAGAAAAGCATACATGGTAGATAAAGGTACATATCTTCCCTTCAAGGCAAAATAAGTCATAGTGTAACAGAGCAGAACCCTTTGGGGGCCTTCCCAGAACAGACCACTCCCCCCCATATGTCCTCTACCTGCCTTTTGTCTGTAGAACTTTGGTCAAAGATTAACAAAGTGAGAAAATGCAGAAAGGAAAGCAGTCAACCAAGATAAAATAGTAATATTTCAGCCATTAAACAAAGTCAGGGACCTTCAGTTTCTTTTTAAGGATTGTAGATAATATTCTGAGCCGTGTCTTTTGAGCTGTTTTGCAGATACTGAAACCTCCACCAGGTAGAAGAAGTTAACTGTATGCTGCCCACAACTATGTGAAACCGAGACAAGTCAGAACTAGAAGGCTGATGATGTTGACTCCCAGTTACCTCACCACCAACCAACTGGAAGAATGTGCATGAGCTGACCAGACACCCCACAATCCTCCCTCCCTCCCTTGAACTGGCTTTAAAAACTTTTCCCTGAAAGTCTTGTGTGTGTGTGGGCAGTGGGGAGGGAAGTTCAGGCTTTTAAAACACATTATTGACTAAAGACATATCAATACATTTTTAGAGACTGATACAATTAATGTCACTATGTGAAGTCAGTAGAGCTTAAAATTGATCAAGTGTTCATTATGAAATTTATGCTTGTTATCATTCAAGTTTTATTCCACTAGGTTTTTGTTCCAACCTTTTGTTGCACATTATAAATGCAAGTTTATTACATATTATAAATGCAAGTTTATTACCATTGAATTTTCGAAAATGAGACATTGAGAAATCTTGAGTCAAGAATTTTTTGGTGAATTTTATGCAGATACTTTCTTTGATTGTCTGAGCAACATATATTAATGCCTCAGGAGATAATTCTTCAGAATATATTTC